TTTTCACGCGTTTTCATCACACGAGAAAGGAGATTAGTGTTAGCAATCCTGAACGCTCACAACGTCTATCTGATCACGAAATTATATGTCTACGTTGCTATATCGCTGATAAAATTACATCGTCTTTTATAATCGTAGAAAATACGTGTGGCGATATTTGTACTGTTGTCAAAGTCGTGTAATAAAGTCGTGATCATACAAGACGGCGTACTGCATCTTATTCTTTTTTGAATACACTACCCTGCAAGCGTATTCTGCAATAAATAAATAAATAAAGCTTGAGGTCATGAAAGACGGTCTGTCTATTTTCTGTTACGCAAGTGAGTGGCAGCGCGTCCCCTTCTTTTTAGAAGCACGGCTGAAACACCTGACGGCGGCGAAGAGGCGGTCGCCGTGCTGCCGACCCGCCGCGCTTGTTGCAGTGGTTGCAGGAGTGTACGCGCGGCGCAGAGCGGTCGTTCCGGTCACAACGGACGCAGTCGTGGATAACGGGTTCATTTCAGATGTCTGAACTAGCATTTATACAGCTATTGTAGGCGCACAGCAGATCTTCGTGACTGTACGCCGTAGCCGAAACCTCCGGCTGCTCCGGTGAGGACCTCGTGTCGGGCAGGAAACCGTCCGCCATGTTTCTAAGCGTAGCTGGGTTGCTTACTATTGGCTAGCCTAGGAGCAATAGCTGAAGCTCGTTTCTCATTGGCTGTTGATTCGTGTGGTTGCATGCGGTTGCATATATGTGCACACGTCGCGCACAGTTGTCGTTGATGTCGCAGCGGTTGCATTCGTTCGTAAGCATAGTGGTCGTGCTAAGAAAGCTTTGATCACGCCTCGAGACCGGCGACACTTGCTTTCGACGAGTTGTACCTTTAGATACGAACGGCTTCACGCACATTGCACTCGCAAAACACATTTCACATGGCGTTGATTCTTGGTCGGTATCCAGGCGTGCGAAGGCACAGAGACACGGCACTCAGGCGTGCCAAGGAAGCTTTGAACACGCCGCCAGACCGGCGAAACTTGCTTTCGACGAGTTGTGCCTTTTTCCTGCGGTACTGTGCTTTCGTAAAATTTTCTACGTGTTCACAGCGGCAAGTTTCAACGGTGCACTGAGTCTTAAAGAACTTCTTTGGCTGATGACGACGAACGAGTAGAAAGCGTGCCTACAGCACGCTGGCAAAACCGCAGCAAAAGGTTGGCGAAACCGCAAATCGTATCCCAGCTTGGTTGCCATCCGGTGGCTTCACTCGCACTGCAGCGAACAAGCGGGGAAGCGCGATCCAGCAATTTTTATTGAGATCAATGGCCGGGAGGGTCATGCTTCTGTCTCGACTGGTAACCAAACCGCCAGGAAGGTATGGGACGCGGCCGGCTGTACTCCTACACCTCGCTTAGCTCGTAGACAACTCCTTACGGCCGCTGGAGGTCCGTGTTTCAACGAGGGCTCTCACGAAAATGAATGGGTGCAATCCAAGGGAGCACCGACTTTATTTTCATGCAGTGCTGAGATGTACTATACTTCGTAAATGGGGCGATCGAAACCGAAATCATGCCACTCTTCTCTATGGCCAAAAAGATATACCGTAATCTAACGCTCGCAGTGTTGCATGCAGGGATTTCTGGAAGTAGCCTATTGCGCAAACAAGCGCGAGCTCTCCGAATTTGATTACAGTGTGCTAGAACACTGCAGGGTAGTGTTGGGACCAGAGCGGCTCGGCAACGGGAGCTCGTGAGGGCGCGTGTATTGCCAGTTTGTGGCGGCGCTGTAGTCGAGATACCCGGCAAAAATCGCGCACAGCTCGCCACGTTTTTCGGAAAATGCGTTTGTAGTCGACGACACACTTAGGGCTCATTCACACTGGAAGCGGATCCGCGTTCGCAAAGCGGTTGCGAACGCGGTTGTATAAGGATTCAGTACAATTGCACGCGCATTTGATGACATCAAATGCGCGTGCAATTGCACTGGATCTTTATAGAACCGCGTTCGTAACCGCTTCGCGAACGCGGATCCGCTTCCAGTGTGAATGGGGGGTTAGGGTGCCTACATGTCTGTCTGTCTAGCAAAAGCGCGCGTGTGTATGAAGGCACTCTAGACACACTGCTTTTCCTTTTCACTTTGAGCGGTGCGCGCGTCGGTGAGCCCACCACGATTTCATAGTTCCGTGTGTTGGATCGAAATATGTTTTGAATCTTGTGTGTTCTGATTTTGCACATGGTGAACGCGTAAGGGTAGCGCCGAAATGCCGTCGTCAAAACGGCGTCAGAACTCTTGCTGCGCACCTGGCTGCCAAACGGGCTACATCCGAGTCAACGGTGTGAAAACGGCGTCTCTTTTCGGCGTTCCAAAGGACAGACCCACGAAAGATCTCTGGGAAAAGAATCTGCAAAGATCGGACAAGCGTCTTAAAGAAACAAGCGCTGTCTGCGAGCTGCACTTCGAGCCCCGCTTCATCCTTCGAGTCTGGAGACTACGTCCACATAATCGGCGGAAAGGAAGTGAGGATTCCTTGTGGACACCCGCGCTTACGCCAGACGCGGTGCCGACTCTCCTGCCAAGTGTACCTCAGGATCTGAGTGGTGACCCTCTAGCAATACGAGAGGAAAGGAAGCGGAAGGCAAATCCACCAGAGCTCATCGCTACAAAGCGTTCGGGGCTCGCTCGCGAAACTAACCCATTGTCACCAGTGGTGAAAGCGAAGCTCCTGCCGCGATCCCACAAGGCATCGATCGCAACGCACTAGGCACCCTGAGTGCGCTATCTCCCTACTGGGATGTTCAAAAGTTCAGCAACTTCGACTGTGTTGCTTATTTGGAGACTTCCCTTGAGCCGAAGTCTAACGAGATCAGCCTCGAAAGGGAGGTGTTCTTTTGTTTCGACATCTTACCTGATGTGGTATGCGAAGTATACCTCAAGACGACTGCGTGGTATGCCATGCACACCTCAAGCCGACTACGTCACTATTCTACGTATCATTGTCATCACGCGGTTTCGGAATCATGCGGAGAAAGGCAAACTTTTAACGCTGAATTTCGCGAGCCTCGTTGCCTTTTCGCGAATTGTCGAAATTGTGTTAGCCTTTAATAGTGACTCCCTTCAAAACTGCAATTGCAGCATAACCAATTAAACCGTTAATGAAGAAGTTAACTAGCGGATTTTGGTTAATTATTAAAAATTGCAACGGTCAATCGCCCATTTATTGTCCACCGATCGAGCCCTAGAGATATAAGTAAAGACGGCATCCACGTATGTGCCACCTCCTTTTTTGTAAAATCTATAAAGTTTTGTAAAGAATAAAACAAAAACACCCTATATGTCTGCGTGAACTAGGTACGACACCTGTGGAACAATGGGTTTTTCACTTCGAATACCCAGCTCAGGCGAGACTTACCTGGCTGTCAGAAAGCAGCCTCAGTTAGATGTATTGTTATGATGTGTGGGTTTCAGATGGTTTACCCTCGAGAGGACAATGCGCTGCACAGTGTAACAATGTATGCGCTGCTCATTGTAACCATGTAGTTCAATGCTCAACTTTTACCTTGCCTGATTTACGTGTGCTGTTAATTCTTGCTCTAAATGATCTGAAATAGTAGCTTGCTTTATTCTTTGAATATTATAAAGCATTACTTGTTCAGCCCATGTTGTCACATTTTTTGGACTTAAGTTCAATGTTAAAACGCGTGATAAAAATTGTCACGGCTTATAAGCTATTTCTTACAAGTGAACGTCGGATGGTCCTCTGATGGTCGTGGCAGCCATGAAGAAATATAAGATTCTAATCTCTTTGTGACCGCCGCTTGGGTGGATTGTCACATACATGAAGACGAAATGAGTGACAAGTGAAGCGAACTTATTAAGGGCAAGAAGAAAAAGACGGGCAGAAAAAAATACAGAGAAGTTAACCTGTAGTACTTAAAACACACTAAAACAATCTCGGGCTTTACTATGTGCTGCTTTGTTCCACCACAAAATAAAATAGCAAAACAAAATGCTTCCGAGTTTTAAATATTCCCGCAAAATATCTAATGTCTGGCCTTTCGCAACCAAGAAAATTGGCATTTTATTTACAACACTCACCATCCGACGAACCGAAAGTCGCAGCTAATTCTACGCTGAAACAACTTGATCCCCTTTTGAAAGTCGCAATTGTTTTTATGAGATTTCAGAATAATGTAGCTTGTACCGTCCAGTACATTGAAGAATCATTATGCCAACGGTCGTACCGCAGCGTAATTGATGCCGTGGTACGACCACTGGCAGGTTGTAGCTGTATCAGAAATCCTATTTGCACTCTATCAAAGCCGCACTAAAAGTTCATATTTTCGCGCCTGCAGCCGCGCACGCGCAAACCTTCTGGGTAACACGCCGGTGTCGACACCTGTCGCGATCAATACCACGCGGCTCGGACGAACCGCTCCGGTCCCAACACTCCCCAAGTATTGTAGTACACTGTAGTTCGATTGCATGGGCACCACGAGCCGACGAGCCCTCGTGTAGCGCAAGCAAAAGTCAGAGCCACCCGCTGGCGCCACATGACTGCGTATGATTGCAAGTTCGACAATCAGTCAGCCGCAGAACACATGTCTTCGCCCGCAGCTTTCGTCCCCGCGGAGGCGAGGTTGCGCCGGCCTATCTGGAAGGACGTACATTCTAAAATAAAAGATACGTGAGTTGGCTTTCCCTCGGCCGCATGAGCAGGGACAATGAGCATGGTGTTTCACTTTCTGGTTGTCCCAGCTCATACCGAATTTTTCAGATCCAATTGTATTATTCGCATTCGCTGGGATCCTTGTGTTGTTCGCCGTGATTCCTGTATCGTGTTCTGCAGGAATGCGAACTCGCAGACAGCGCACGCCCATTCTGCATCCATATGCATACGCGTCGAGGCATCTACGCACTCGCGTCGGTATCGCTGTGCTAAAGGCCAAATCGACCACGAGACGCGGTTTGTTCGCGCTTCGAAAATAGCCCGGCTGCCTGCGTAGCGATCCCTTTCCCGCGCCCCGATAGTGGGCCAGCTTCAACGGGCGGTCGAGGGCAGCTCCGCTCTGCCAAAAACGCCGTATTGAAATCCCCCGATAAGATGGGCGCTGCTCGTTCGGAGGAGCGGACCCCGTCCCATCAGCACGCCCTATCAGCCACGGCCTCCGGATGGGCCACTGTTCCGCCAGTTGCCGAGCCGTGCAAGTCGACCGGTCCCCACCTGCGCCCGCTCCCCCGAGGTACGGTCTTCCGTTGCTGTGGGACGGCGCTGGCCGTGCCTTTTGTTTCTACGCAGGAGGGGCCCTCTGGGCTCGGCTAATAGTTTCGGCAAGAGAAGTCACGATTTTGCGGCCCCGATAGGCAGAATAGGGCTGCTGCACGTAACGGACGCGCTTCTCACTTTCATAATGTGGTCTCCCTCGCGCGTGTGTTCATTCGGTAGAATGGGTCGCGATTGACGCTTGGCTTATCATCCGTCCAGCGCTCGGGCACCTACAGTGTGTGGGAAGTCACGGCCGCGCTCTTATATGCGGAGCAAGCCACGTATACCGTCCGTGTTAAGTGGCGCATCGGATATGATGCAACCATGGAACTGGCGGGCCGCAATCTGGCTTCTCTTCGTGCGTGTATTCTGGTTCGCTAAGAGTGAGAGCTAAAGTTTGTTCTGCAACGCCTTGGTCACCCCCGGGTTCCGCAGACGCGACCATGCACCTTGTCGACCCGATTGGCGGCGTGGGGATCCCCTTTGGCAAACAAGAGCTACGAGAAGCACAGCATAAAGGGTTTATTTATTTAGTTCATATTTTTATTTCGAGTTTTAGCTGATTTTAAGGCGCGTAAAAATTCACAAAAGAAAAAAAAAAGCTACGTAAGTGACACGTTTTGCATGCTTAGCACGTTTTCTCCTAGCGCGCTCATAGTTTCTTCTTAGTGCTTCGGTGCCATGTTGCTTTTCAATGTCGCACCATTCAAACAACCACTGCAATGTTGCTGTTGCTTCTTGAACTATCTGGAGAGCCGCGAGCGGGCAGCACTCAGTGATACAAAGTGAAGCCCCTTGATGTGTTTGTGTTTTTCTTGCAGGTAGTGTAAAATGGTCAAATGCACCAAATCACGTGGCCCGTGCCTCATGCAGCTCTTGGAAGCAAATGGCCACGCGGCGCTCGCTCGAGGCACGCGTTTTGCGCGCAAGACCAACAATGGTTTCCGGTACTTGCGTGTTTTGTATGTATGTTTATAGAGCCTGAAGTCAGTCTACCTCAGTGGGCGCCTTGTCTCTCAGCTGTAGATGAGAAATTTAGCCAGTGGTCTTTAACGTGCACGACCTTTGTTTGGCAAGGTCTTTAACGTGCATCACGCAGTGGTGATACACGACCGAACGCCGGTGCGATGGACATCTAGATCGAAACGCGCAGCGGTGGGGATTGAGCCCAGAATCCCTGGGTTACTCTGCGCGAGCTTTCACTCCACGTGCTCCGAGCTGGTGTGCGCAAGCCGTCTCGCCCCGTTCATCGTACTCTACGATGAACGGGGCGAGACAGACGAACGAGGTTCCTTTCCACTCCAAGAAGTACGCGCGCGTATACTCCACAGCGGACCACGAGCAGAGTCAATTATCGCTCGCATATTTGATGAGCACAGTGCGACAGGACTAGCTTATCGCCGCTTCCCAATGAGAGCACCATTGCACAATCAAACGCGACTGTAGTCGCTAACGACTTTAAGGGGCCATGAAATGATTTTCCAGCCTCTTCCTGGTCAACTTTCCTCCTCAACTCAAACGCAAGATGAGAAATAACCTGGTCGTGGCATAGCATTGCACCTTAATCGGAAGTTGTCCCAGCCGTCTGAGATCGGTAGGGTTACGTGTCAGTGTTCCTTGTGACTGGAGCAATCGTCAATGCATGTTGAGGTACAGAGACAGCCCTCCCAGCCTTCTCGCCGACGCCGACGTTGTCGGCATTCCCCGACTGGACAATCTGAGTAAATTTTGCTATCATCGGCGGAAACAAGTGTAGTGTTAGATTGTCGACTCTGACAGTGTTGGTTTCCGAATGCGATAACTCCAGGCTTCCACCGTGCTGTTTATCCTTTGCAAGCGATGATAAGTGCCGTCAGGGCACTCATTGGCCACGAATGCGAATCCAAATATTCGTTGACGGATTGATTGTAGACGAGCGCATACGTCCGAGTGACGCAGAGCTCGCGTTCAATGCGTGAGCTGGGATGGGCTGAGGTGCTTAGGGCACCGTGGATGTATACCAGACTGAAAAGGCGGAGAACTTTCGAAGGAAAGGAGGCATGAGTTGGCTAGAATTTTCTTATTGAAAATTTTAACTTTCTACCCTCTTTTTGTTATTCTACACACCTAACGGTATGCGATTTGTAAAATCTAGTCTAAAATAATTTTTTCTCAACCTTAAATTCATTTTATGGCACCTTAAAGGGGTACGGAAACGAAATTCTGAAGCTTATTTCTTTGCTTCAACATGACGTATATGTAGCAGTAGAACCTCAGAAACATCACTATTTGGTTGGAAAACTCAAGAAAACATATGTTAACTAGATTAAACGATACCCCAAAACCACCTGGTTGTCGGTTATGAAGCTTCAATAGAATGCCGTGACGGTATCGGCCTCCGACGGCAGCGCCACTATATGGGAAATACGCTCACTAGTACAGATTACCTAGGCCAGAACGTAATAGCGAAGGTTTAGTGAAGAAAGTCAAAGCACAATTGGCCACCTTCGATTCACTCCGCCGTATCGAAATATATGAAGATGTTAAAGTTGAAGCCTGGGCGAGTTGGTATGACATACTTAAAAGGTTAAAACAGCGCAAAAAACGACAAACAAGGTAAAGAAGGACACAGACAGAGCGCTGACTGGCAACTAAATTCTTATTGGACCCAACGGTGCAGTATATACGCACAATTGAGAGAGAGAGAGAAAAAAAAAGAAGAAAATCAGCCTTGTGCTTTTGTTTAGGGTGTTTTTTTTTCTTCTCTCAATTGTGCGTATATATTGCACCGTTGGGTCCAATAAAAATTTATTTGCGAATCAGCGCTCTCTCTGTGTCCCTGTCCGTCGTTTTTTGCGCTGTTTTAGCCTTTTAAATATGAAGATGAATTATGAAGTTGATAGGGGAATATGGAAAAGAGTCACGGTGCCGGGCGCCGCGGGTGAGTCGCGGGCGCAGTGGATCATCCCGAGACGCCCCGCTCTCTTCCATGGCTGATTTCAAAGTGCTCTCCAGAATCGACCATTTAGAACGAAAACTACAGCCATCCGTTTTATATACAAGCGAACGATTGTCATTAGCAGATAGAGTTGATCATGTTTAACTTATTTCTGAACGTGAGAGGTAGATTTTACGTTTTGATTCAGTATGCCTTTAAGAAACGCAGGGCGTTTTCTCTTAAAAATGCCTACGCGTCAACTTACCCGCAAAAACACTCGAAGAGCCAATCTCTGCAATCTACGAAATCAGCTCAGCTGACGATGAGGCGGAACATCTGTTTAGACCTCAAAATTAAGCGTGCGCGTTCGCATTACGCAATGCAAGCATGACGCTTTGCATTGCGTAATGCCACAGCGCAGACTTCATTTTTAGGTCTAAACAGATGTTGCGCCTCATCATTCGCTGAGCTGATTTTCTAGAACGCAGGGGTTGGCTCTTCCAGTGTTTTGCGGGTAAGTTTAGAGTGTAGCGAGTTCCACGCATCTTTTTATCGCTTCTCAGTCAATGAGATTGCAGTCTTAGCCGGTAAGTCCGCCGAAGAATTATTCAAGATGGAAGATGAATGAGCAGTCACGCCTAGCGTTTTTTAACTGTTAGAGACTATCCTTACACGAGTTTTGTTGTTTGTTATTGTTCTTTTCACGATGTTACGATTCCGCAAATAGAGCCCTTTAAAGGGCCCCTGAAAAGAAAAAAAAAAAGAAAAGATGTATTTGAAATTCTGCGCGCGAAGTCCATAACGTCACTGGTCATTCCGGAATGACCATCTCGGTCGCGAGGGCGAAGCCGCTCCACTTCTCCACGCGACCGAAATGCCGAGAGAGAAAATAAGTGGAAAGGAGGTGACTGCCGACTAAATGGCCGTCTAGCGCCGTCAATATCAATCTAAAAAATTTTCTTTTCGCGTAATTTTTTTTTTTAAACACGTGTCTCAATTAAACTGTTTTTTTTTTTCTTTTCTTTTTTTTAGGGGTCGAATTGAAACGCGAAGGCGTTAAAACTTTTGCGCTTCGATTTTATCGGCTTATTCGTTTAGCAGCACACTCGTTATATTGGGGATGGTTATTGTGATGAGCGTGATCAAGGCTTTAGAGACGTGTGGTCGGGTTGACGTTGTGGACGTGAGTGTTCGAGTGCTCCTTCCAAGCCGCGCCAGTTCTGAGTGCAGAGGTGAGCGCGCGGCGCCTTTAAACCGCAGTCGACACTGCTTATACATTCGCTGCAGACATGAGGTCGGTATCTTCTATCTCGAAAGTGCAGCGTTGTTAAGAATACAGGAGATATATACTTAGTTTCAGCGAAAGTTTGAGCTTATTTCATGCTACGAGTGGACGGGCCAATCAGGGCACTGCCGGAAGCGCAACGTGACTCTTTTCGTCGTCTTTCCGTACGTGTGCTATCAGCGGAGAAGCCAACCCAGCACACTGTATCAGCCATGACCCTGCGCTTTTAGTGCGTCTGTAGTAGCCCCTGGCTGCGCTCGAACTTATGGTGAAATGAAGGATATCACGCTCACAAATATCCAAGCATAATACCTGACCAGATGGATATGTAAGGGGTTCATAAAAAGGTTAGTAAGCCGAAGTTACAATAACACTTGGAAGTGTATTTTATGAAGGCTGTATACCCCTATAGTTTAATTGAGTCGAACCTCGTTCCCTCACTCTTTGCCTTTGTTTGTAGAAGTACGAGGCCACCTTGCGTTTCATTCCCTATAGCCCAAGGCAGTTCTCTTGCGAGGCGTTGTGAAGACGACCTTTGTTTGGCGAGGCAACGTGAAGACGACCAGAACACTTGCAGCAAGCGTGTGTTAGCTTTAATATGATGGATGGATGGTGTTGGATGTACTCTTTGTATTGGACGCCAGCTTGCTACACCTACCGTGGAAACATTTACACCCCTTCCCTTTAAATTTTGGAATAAATTACGTCTCTCGTTAAAGTATCCTCCCTATCAATTTTGTGTATATGTATATCACGATTCTCTAAACGTTCTTCAAGAATCTTCAAAGCAACTTTTTTTTTTTTTTATTACACTCCTTTCTTCCCTCGTTCTTCCATTTTCGCCAGCCAAACCCAGCACTCCCGCCAAATTCGTTACCCCTCTCGAGATGGCAGGACGCAGCCCCGTGCACTTCAAAACCACATATTCTAGCCTTTCGTTGACACTATGGCATACGGCACCTAATGTGTGTGGCCGGACGCGTGTTCCATTGATAGCTCGCGCATAAATAAATCAGAGAACTTCCACGATTATCATTAGACCTATTGCTAAATTACCCAAGCATCAAGAAGAATGCAGGGATTGGTGTTCCACGCGCCGCACGTGCTGGCCTCAGCGGTAGTAACTTTTCTAAAGCAAATACCTAAAACAAAAGGCATCTTGCACGCGCGTTCCTCAACGCTTTATTTTGGTTATTTACTTTGAATCTTTTATACGGGGAGGCCGTGCCTGTGTGGCATGTGGAAAGTCAATTCCTGCATTCTCCTTGATGCTTGGGTAATTTAGCAATAGGTGTATTTTTATAAAAGAAGAAAAAAATGTTTGCTGATCCAAAGTGCCACCACACATGGTTCAATGTGTTCATGTCAACGTTGATGTCGACCCCACAGTTATCTCACATGAGGATGGCATCTCACGCGCACGCGCGCAGCATCCTTAGCATCATAATGTTAATGAGCCTAGCTATTATTATCTCGAGCAAGCCGGCCCAGGTTTGCTTGAAATTACATTAATTAAACTAATAATGCTCTTTCACGAGTCTGACTGTAGTGGAGTAGCGTGTTTAACTTGTATAGACTCAGGCCCGGAAGCCCTCAAATAGGACACCACTAAATGATAGTTACACTGGATTTTCACGCGTCAAATCTCAGTTGATCTGAGCACTAACTGCGTTTAAAAAAGGCCAATTCAGAAAGGTCTCATAGCGCGATGATTCAGAGTCAAAACAACCCGGTTCGTATTTTTTAGCGAGTGCCATGATTGACGAGGGGCTATTGAATGAGACGCACTATTTTCCAAGTTGTTGATAGAGACGTGTCAGCCATATTTATATAAATGCCGTCGTTCTTCCTGGTGACTACATATCTTTGACCTTCACATCTCAATGGCATCATTGCGGCAGATGTTAAATGACCTTCGTTCAACGGCAGTCAGTTTGTTTGGTACTTGCTCTGTCTTATCAACAATGGAAAGTTTGGAGAGCCCTTGTGGATGGCGGTGCCACCTTATCTAACCGGGTCCGGGCTGTGAGATAGTAAGTATCGGCTGCATATGTCATGCAGTTTTGAATGCTTATCTATTTGGACGTTAGCCTATGGGCAGTTGTGTTCCGAATGATTGGGCAATAAATGTAGCAAACATTAAGCGTTAAGATTTCGAAAGCACGTACACAAGGCGCCGAGCATTCGCTGCAAACGCGTCAATCGTAGAAGTTTGCATAGCTGATAACGGAGTGATATGTTGCAGACGAAAATCTGGCTGTCCTCAGCCGAATAATCTCAATCCGGCTGAGGTGTCTATTTGGCTGAAGGGTAAATTGGGCTGAAAGGGTCGTTTCGGCCAGGTTCTTCAGCTTGGCTAAATAATTATTTTGGTTGGAATCTCCGAATCGGCCGGATGCTTCAGTTTGACTAAATTTTCCATTTGGCTTGAAGCCTAAGTTTGGTTCAAACATTTTGGTTCGGCTAGAGGTTTTTAACTTCTAGGTGTAATAAAATGAGGTGTCCAGAATTTTCTTGGGTGACTGAACTATGCCTGCGTCATGCGTTAGCGCCTCGAGTGCAGATAAATGCTTCCTGCTATTGAACAGGCCTCGCGGCGCACGGTAGTAACAATTGCCTGTCTCTGATTATCATTTGTGTTTGTTCTGTTTGTCACGTTGAAGTGCTGCCCACACATCACTTTACGTATTAATTTTCTCTCAGAATGAATAACAACTGTCCAGAGACTGGGTATTATTTCAGTTCTGGCCGCCGATTACTTGAACAGGGCAGGATGTCCTTGCTGCTTCTCTGTACAGCAACTAAGGTGCAAAAAAAAAAAAGATAAATGAATTAGTCAGACGACAAAGAAACGCTGTAAAGATGCCTTTAGATTATATAAGTTAAAAAATATTAAAAGAAATGTGGCAGCAAAACTGTCATGATAAGCTGTGATAGTAATCAGAGTAAAGTTGTTACTTAGTACTATTTCAAAATGCAGAAAAAAATGTTTTCTATTTCTCATCTCAGGCATTCGTCTGTATGCACATGGTCCCACTATTCGTTGAATATCGGCATTCGCACCCTGATTTTAAAAGTGTGCATAATGAAATGGAAAAAGATTTTCACACTAACTGAATTCGGGATATCAGTTTTATTACAAGCTTCGGAACTTGAACAAGGTATCTAATTTGGCACTCAAATTATTCTATATCCTAAGATTATAGTGGTGGAATACGATTTACTTCACGTTTGATGCCAGATCTTGGAGATGCATTCCTTGAACTTCAAGATATTAAGCGTTGTGTGAAATACAGACGGCAACAAAGCAACATACGGGTAACCCTAGTTAAACGTATATGCGATGCGTGGCGGCTCACGTACGTTGCGGGTTTTGGCCATGGGGAGCGGGTGGCTGACGCGGAGATGCGCTCCAATGAGAAACCGAAACTTAGGAACGCATCGAAATCGAGCATGTTTTCGGAACGCCGTAAAATGCTGCATGTCTTATATCATTGTAATAAAGGTGGATCGAGTAATTTTTGACGATTCACCTCAATGTATTAATTTAAGCGATACCTCTAAAATTAACAATGAAAAAATTATTTACTAAAACGTAAACGATGGCCTTATTATATTGAACGCTAATCATTTTCCTTAATGGTCCCTTTGGTAAACACCCTCAGCCTTTTTTTTATTTGTGATGCGTATTTTTTGCGGGAACGCTTTGGCTCACGTTTTAGAAACGCCCCCTATATTACCAATTCCTTTGTCACAATAGTGAGGAAAAGGGGAGATTTAATATATACATATATTAATTCAAAAAAGATCGGCTATCATAACTGCACACGCCGTCGGTACGCAAACCACAAGAAAGTCAAAGAAAAATAAGTTTACTAAATACATGTTGTCTAGACAGTTAGTAACTCACTGGTTGGAAATAATATCGGTCTCATTATATTATATCACAGGTGGGCACTATGATCCAGACCCTTAGCATCACCGACGAACAGGCGATGCCTCTTTCCAAGGGTCAAGATGGCGGTGGATCTAGAAGGCCTGCTGACTTGACAAATGGCGTGTTGAAGCTCACCAACGGGAACAGCACATGCGACCCTGCCCAAGCTGTAGACACCAGAGTCAAGTCAGAGCGCAGTGAAGTCATCAGCCATGTCCTGGTAACCGGAGGCGCGGGATACCTAGGCTCCTGCCTTGTGCCCATGTTGCTGCAACGGGGCTATAAAGTCACCGTGTACGACACCTTTGAATGGGGAGTCACATCGCTGTTGGCTGTTGCTGTTGACCCAAACCTGACCCTGATACGTGGTGATGTCCGCGACCAAGAACAGCTTAGCAGGGTCGTCGAGCGTGCGGACACGGTAGTGCATCTGGCGGCCGTCGTAGGCTACCCGGCCTGCAGCCGGGACCCTGAGCTCGCCATGTCCGTCAACGTGCATGGGACGCAGGTGCTGTTGCGAAGTCTACAGCCGCATCAGCGGCTTGTGTACGCGTCAACGGGCTCCTGCTATGGAGCTGTGCCGGAAGGCCTGTGCACAGAGGAGACGCCCATTTCGCCACTGTCGTTGTATGGAAGGACTAAGGCCGAAGCTGAGCGCGACGTTCTAGACCGCGGCGGCGTGGCGCTAAGGCTAGCTACTGTGTTCGGAGTGTCCCCCCGAATGCGCCTTGACCTGCTCGTCAATGACCTCACCCTGAGGGCGCTGAACGAGAAGACCCTGAACGTGTACGAGGCGGATTTCCACCGTACCTTTATCCACGTCAAGGATGCCGCCCAAGCCTTCATCTTCGCGATCGATAACTACGATGCCATGAAGGACAGGCCATTCAACGTTGGGGACGACGTCATGAACATGACGAAGGGACAAGTGGCCGCCAGAATAAGTGAGAAGGTTCCCGGTTGCACGGTGGTCCTGTCGGATGACGGCAAAGACCACGACATGAGGAACTATAAGGTGTCTCATCAAAAAATCTGTAGTTTGGGTTTCAGGGCAACCTTGACCATTGATCACGGAATAGAAGAACTCATCAAGGTGTTGCCGCAAATGTCGTCCTCAGAACTGGCATGCTGCAGGAATGTGGTCAACGGTATATAATGACAATGTTGAGGCTTTTTTTTTCTCTCTCTTTTTTACTTGCATAATACACGTTAAAGGAGTAAAGTTGTTCTTTTTTTTTATATAGCGCGAAGCAAGGCAGGCGCAATTTTTACACTGTTTCGAGAAAACGTATATAAAAATTGGAAAAGGTAATTGGGCCGCTTTTTCAGCGGCAGCACGGTGTTACTGCGCTGTAAGGCTAGGCCGCCTCGCTGCTAACGTTGCACCGAAAATTTGAGCAGTACCTTATGATGTGTGTTGCTCCCTAATGCTATAGCTGTTGACGGAAGGACGAGAACGTCCTTAGTCTAAACTAAAATGAAGCATACAACGAACTACACTTCATGATCCTCCTTTCCTTGTTAATATATTTTATAACATTTCAAAGAAAGAGTAAAATTAAATTTCATGTTTCAATCTCAGTTTGGGGAGAATTAATTTCTACTTTTTTACGGCGAATATACCGTTTCTTTTTCTTTTTTGCTTTCGTTTGTGTGTGTGAGGTAAACAGCAAGGTTCCTATTGCCAGTAAATAAATGCAAATTGATATGTCGGACATGTTGTTTTTCCTGAAACAAGGCTGATCTTGTCGCTATCGTCTTTATTCTTGTCTTGTTTTATATACACAAAGCGTTATAAAGAGCTTTGAGAGGTCATGATGCTGTCGCAGTTTAAGGAATGCCGAGCTAACTAGATAAATATGAAAAAAAGTTTTTTTATCTGGTTAGAAGTGAAGCTTTACGGGACCTTGATCAGGTGCTGTTAAGTACATTCTGCCCCTGCCACCTCACTTGAAAATACCTAATAAATGAAATGAAAACGAAATGAAACTGTTGTCGCTTGTTCGCCGTTCAGATAAACAAAAAAGACATACGTTGAGAAATTCTGCTACCGAAGACAGCCGGAAGCAGTATAAAATTAAATTTATAAAATGATAGTCATTAGTACATAATTGGCTTCTGATTGAATTAGGAAAGATACTGGCGTAACAAAAGTTTTGTCATAAATTAGCTAAAAAAAAGTGCAACTGACAGTTCGGCCGCCACAGCGATCGGTATAATAAATATGTTTCAACGATGTCCACTTGTCATTACTGCCTGCTTTCTGATTGCTTCATTCACCGAAAATTACTAGGGCTTTAAAACAATTTTACGTTGCCTCAGTGGTAGTTTTCAAGCTCCAATTATCAACGATCACGACCAGGAGCTCTTGTTCTCGCGCTGTGACGTTTGTATCTCACACTTTCGTGAAGGAATTTCAACATGTTTTCAACGAGTAAGTACACTTTTTAAAGAAATGGTCTATACATTCCTCCATAAAGGTAGGGATATTCTTTTCCCCTGTGTTTCTTTAGAAACGGAGCAACGTTCATCCCTGCGAACGGAAGAGCAAAGTTACTCCCTCGTCTGCGTAGCAATATGGCGGCTCCGAATTAAGTGGATCGAGCTCAGTAAGGCTTATCGAGGACGAAGGGACGCTACGGATATCGTCGTTCTTTGCGCTGAACGCCGCCGCGATTCAACCTAAAAGAGCGTATTGCGTACGCACGCAACGCTGGGGATTTTGCGTTGCTGGCTAGCGGGCCTTGCGGGACGCTCTCGAGAGATCTCGGACCCAACGAGAGCGCCAGTTTCAAGCTCGCGGTTGCCTCGACTGGCGCAGCAAGGGCGACGTGGTATTTTCGAAGTTCTGTGTCACGTGAAATTGGCGTGGTGTTCAGCCCGGCGATTCTTCCTGGGACCTACCGCGGTCGAATCAGATCGCCGTGCAGCTGAAGGAGTGCACAGTGAAAATGTTCGCCGCTCGGAATGTGCGTCGACGCTGCGATCTGCTCAACGCTAAGCCTATTCCCACAGTTCATCGCCGACGTGCGAACGACTCTAAAAGAAATCGCCGAAGTTCTCGCTATGCACTGGACATCAGGTTCATGAATTTCATTCTGCGATAGCATTGATAAAAGGTGCCGTTTCCACGGGACGTGTGACGGAGGCTCCGTGATCGAATTTGGCTATGCACTCGCACTCGTAGCCTCTGTACCCCGCAGAAAAGCGCGCTTGACGAGGCAGCTGTGGCTTGGTTTAATTTGAAATAAAATGATAGGACACGTTTTCATTTGCGATATTCATTTCCAGGAGCATGGTTGCGCTATAAGCACGCGGAATTCTACGGCTCTAGCAAATTTAACCAAGATCATGCGCGGTGTTCACTCGGAAACGTAACACACAACTAAATTCGGTCCGAGCAGGTCATTTTCAGCGTACGCTATACTATTGCGTATTGCGTACGTAAGATCCAGCAACGCTATACTAAAACTGTCTATTGATATGAAGCCGACGCGCGGCAGTCCCCCGCGCCAGAGCAGAAACGGCCAAGGCGCAGAGAAAATCACATGCGGCCGCGGCGGCGCCTAGTGTTGCCAATTTAGCTATTTTGTGGCTAGATTTAGCTACTTTTGGGGTAACCCAGCTATTCAAAACTTCCTTCAGCTACTGGTAGCTAAGTTGGTTCTTTTTATTGAATCCAACTCCAAATATAGATGTTTTCAGGGATTTTAGTTTTTATCTAACGAATTTTGTTCGAGGTTGGCAACGTGGTGTCGCCGCAGTTGGAAACCTTCCAGAACTTCAGGGTTCGAACTAAACTCGGTCCTATTTTCTTTTCCAAACTTCTTCCACTAGATGATCTGGGCGCCAAACCTTTTACCCGCTGGGGCTTCTCTTCGCAATAGTAGTTCAAAGAGCAGCCGCTATCCGCAAAAGGAATAGGGCTTCGATAAATTATTCACTGACCGGGCGAGTGTCAAAGGAGGTGGAAGGCTCAGTTGATTCAGCTGGTGTGGTGTAGCTGCTCTCTCTACTGGCCTCATCTCTGCTCGCGATGTCGTCTGCAACAACGCCGCCCGTGCCGTGCCCTGTGGGGCGTACATGATTGGCTCTCACTTTTCCCCCTTATATCTTCATACAACGGCTACACACACACACCGGCCTTGCCCGAATAAACCGGGTAGGGTAATCCACTGCCTGCAGCAACCACGGCGCGTTATTACTATTTTTTTTTAATAAAATAAGTTTTTATTCACAACTGCCCCACTTCAGTAAAATATTTTTCATAAAGTGCCCCAGAAATGTGCAGTGGATGACCTTGGCTTGATTTCATTCTCGCTTACGACATTATTTTGCTCTGTCGCTGCTGCTGCCTGTGGTGTCGTGCCGGTTTTTAGGCAATTGTCACTTTTTTTTTTAAATGACTGAGCTGATATGTTTTAAATGACAAGAAGAGATCTCCGATGAGCAATCGATTTCATGTAATGATTGCGGATATTCGTATCACCCCGGAAGTTGTTCGGGAATCTCTGAAGCGACACTGAGAACAAAAGGCGAGTCATATCGCAAAGCTTGGAAGTGCCCCACCTGCCGAGCTTCGAAACTGAAAGGCGGTGCGTCCAATAAGCAAACACCCGATGACGCCATATGGACAATGTTGGCGTCCATGAACTCAAAACTAGATAACCTACTAGATCTGAAGGACACAGTTGGAAACATTGAAGCGTCGGTCAACATGATGTCGGCACAATACGATGAGATTCTGAAAACCGTCACGGAACATAAGAAAGAAATTAAAATTCTCAAATCTAGAGTTGAAGAAATCGAGAAGCGAGACGAAACGAGGGAACTCAGCCAGTTAAAGTTGGAGCTCCATGACCTTGAATGGAGAAGTCGGAAGCTTAATTTGGAATTCCACGGTATTCCAAAAACTAAAGACGAAGATCTAATGAGCAAAGTGAATGAGGTCGCGCCAGCGCTAGAAATACCCGAGCTGACTGGAACTGACATCACAGCAATCCACCGACTGCCGTCAAAGCCCGACAAGATTCCAGGTATTATTGTCAGGTTTGCCTCTCAGACAACAAGGGACGCGTGGTTGGACCGTAAAAAAAGGCTAAGAGCAAGTGGAAAGAAAGTGTACATCAACGAGAACCTGACAAAACAAAATCGAGAACTGCTTGTCAAGGCTAAGGACTGGGCAAAAGGAAAAGGTTTCTTGTATGTGTGGCACAAAAATGGTGAAATCTTTGTTAGGCGCAGAGATGGTGACAATGCCTTTGTGGTCAGGAGTGATGAAGATTTGCAAAACATTCCGTCGTAGTTGCATATTTTGCTTAGATTATTTTTTTCACAAATAAACTCAAAATGGCTTTTCCAATGACAGAGAGTACTTCTTTTCAGCCACTACTTCCTGTTGAAGTAACGGCTCTCCTCGAGAAAAAATGTAGTTCACATTTAAAGTGTTTTCATTTAAACGCGCAGTCCGCAGTTAACAAAAAAAACAGACCTTGAATTGCTTTTTGATCAGTTCGGTGTTCTTTTTGATATCGTTATGCTTACCGAGACCTGGTATAAAAATGACTCGGATATTTTTAGTTTACCATCCCATGATACGCATGTTTTAAATCGTACTTTAAAGCGAGGCGGAGGATTGGCCATCTTGATTAGAAAGGGTATTGAATGTGAACCACTAAGTGATTATTCTCTTATCACAAAAGATGTGGAAGCATTGTGCTTACGTAATAATCAAAATATTTTCGCGGTTTTTTATCGCCCACCGGACGGTAGTATGTCATCTTTTTTTGTATTTCTTGAGTCTTTTTTGATGATCACAAATGAAAGTCAATATAACGTCATTTGTGGGGGTGATTTTAATATTGATATGTCTTCTGACAGTGTTTCTAAAAGGGAAATGGAGAACGTACTTAGCATGTATGGATGTGTCAACACGATAGTCGATCCTACAAGAGTTACCTTACAGTCTAAAACCATTTTAGATTTGTTTATAACCAATTTTCATACAGATCGACTGAACAGTGGAGTTATAAGTTGTGACTTGAGTGACCATCTTCCCATTTTCTTGTGTGTTGAGCTTAATATATCTCGAAAGCTAACGAAATGCGAACCTCCGATTTTCCAAAGTATTGATAAAAATAGCCTCGATGCTTTCAGACGAGACATCGCAGCTGTAGATTGGAATACGGTGCTTACGCAAGAAACGGTTGATTATGCCTATAACTTATTTTTAGAACAATTTCTAAAGCTGTATAAACTTCACTTTCCATATAAATCCGTAAAAATATCAAAAAAGATTCGTAAACCGTGGGTAACGCCCACATTGATAAAAAAAATTCGTAAGAAAGATATACTATACAAGCGGTTCGTTAAGACACGCAACCCAGATGCTCTTAAGGAATTTAAGTCTTATCGAAACGGCTTAACTAAGGAGCTAAGGAATGCCAAAAAATGTTATGATTCTTCCCTTTTCTCGTCGGCAAATGGTCGCACTGACGTAATATGGAAGCATCTTGGTTCGATGGTTAAGGGGTTTCCTGTACCAAACTTTATTGAAACATTGCAGTACAAAGGTGTAAGTTTAACTGGCCAGGATTTGGCAAATGTGTTTAATGAATATTTTGTAAATATATCTAGTATTGCCGACACTAATGACTCGTGTAAATATATTTGTCAAAGAAACTGTAGATCTATATTTTTAGAGCCTATTGCTAGTTCAGAAATAACTAATGTGATTATGCACTTAAAAAATAGCGGTAGCTGCGACCCTGATGGAATGCAAATTCGCCCAATTAAGTATGTTGCCGACCTAATTGCTCCCGTGTTAATTTACATTTTTAATCTTTCTCTGGAGTCTTCTGTGTTTCCCAGAAGAATGCAAGTAGCGAAGGTGTCTGTACTGCATAAAAAAGGTGATAAAAATGACTTAGGCAACTATAGACCTATTTCTATATTGCCCGTATTTTCGAAGGTTTTGGAAAAGGT